GACACATTGCTGCCAAACTTACATTTGAAGTATTTTTACACAATTATTTCATTTTCTTTTCACTTGATGATAGGGTTTGATTTGAAAGTGAACTACTGCTACTACTACAGTACTTGTATATATTTTTACAATGAGTGACCTTTATATCCTGTGACTGGATTCCTCTCCGCTTTTTTGTTAATAGTGCGATTCCTTTGAACTACACGTAGCTTAAAGGAAAATATTCTCACTATAGCATGGTATAGCAGACTATGTTGCTCAGTCTGCTACTTCTGCGCCTTTTTTTAACATCACGCCTTACCTCCCCCCTCTGACAGGCACAGTCTCCCGCTGTGAGGAGCATAACATGTGAACAGCCAGGTCAGGAGAATATATGGAGCAGTGTAAATGTGAAAACGGCTTAAGATTCATCCTAGAGTTGACCTAAATAGCTGTAAATACATCTCCATCTTTTTTGTTGAAATCAAAAGTTCAACATTCATTGTATACCGAAGTGATAGACAGTCTGACAGATGCGTAAAACATCTGTCTGTTAATGCGGTTGTGTGTTTCTTGTCAAACAACAATGAACATTGTCAATGATATGTGCCAGCAGTCCCTTAAACCACACAGAGGTCTGAGGTCAGTGCCCTATCAGCTCGCTGCGCAGGACATCTGTCAGCAGAAAAGACACATTCCTTACCCACATCACCACCACATCCTTCCCTTCATGTCCCACAAAGAGACATGAAGCTATTTTTGAGGATACTCAGGCATCCAGGATGGCTGGAGTCAGCCTGATTATAGCCCGTAGGAAGATGGTAAACAAAGGACCTCATGCAGATTGAGCTGCTGAAGTGACACATGTTTGTTATAGCAGAATAAATCTCCTGCCTTGATGCTTTTTTATTCTGCTACTTGTCACCATTTGTTATTTTTATTTATGTTCTTGAAATGTCGTCGTATTGTTTAGACATATTTCCTGTTTGGTTGTTTTTAGTAAAAGCAGGAAATATTGTGTAGCCTCAGCCGGTCATACAGATGATGGCATGTTGTTAATCTTTAAGACATCATTTGTTTTTATGTTCAGTATCTCAAAGAAGTACTTTGCTGTTGACAGACAACATTTTAGACTGGATGTTTTGACTTCTCGTGCCTAGATAGATGTGAACTAAGTAAGGTTTACTTTGGTTATTAAATAAAATGAACTCATAGTTTCCCTTTGACTACTCTTGACTTCCAAAGTTTCATCATTTTACTCTGCATTGTCTGCTGTTCCTTTTATGTCATTATTTAGCCTATATCAAAATGATTCAAAGATCTAAACATCCTTGATGATGTTTTTGACTGTATGTCCATTGTCCATGCCAAACATTACATTTGTGTGTTTTTCTTTGGTTAAGAACTTGTTTTTGAAGTTTCACCCTCTAGACTTTCGAGGTGACTGTTTACTCACAACTCAGCGGGGAGTGGAGAACACAGTACTCAACTCAACTACACATATCAACTAGACACCAAAGAAACTTTAAATGCAAGGGACCTTGTGGGCAACAGGCTCAATTGCCATCGTGTTAAGACATTCTTCAAAAGATAGAGACATAACATGCATTTCAACTTAAAATCTTTGATATCCCAACTAAAAGATCCATCGTGTTTGCTACATCTTTGTAACCTTTACAACAATGTAGGTGATAGTTGAGATAACAATCCAAAGACACAACTGTTTGAAACTTGGCTGTGTCCGAAATCACTCACTCATTCCCTACTCACTATATCGTGAGTTAGATGTAGTGGACTATATCGTGCACTCACTCAGCGAAATTTAAAAAACATTTCAGACACTACTCGCACACTCTCCGGCTGCTGACAGTGACGTCATTGTTGTCGCGCAACTAAAATGTGCATCTTAACAATGGCCGAGGATCAATAATAACAGTAGTAACGGCATGAATTTCAGTGATAACTTTCGACCAAAACTCTTATATTTATGCTCACAGACTCTGGTCTCATGTCTGTCATTAGGACAAACTACCGTCACTGACGTTGACGATCTTTTACTCTTTATTCAAACTGATCAAAGATTTTAGTCAAAACGCTCCAAATACACACTTTATTGTGTTTCTGTGTTCACTAAAGTACACTACTTTTCAAAATGCATTGTAGGATACATTGATTGGACTATATGGAGTATGACCATGTAGTGCTGGGCGATATATCGTGAAGCTCGATTCGATCGATATTTAATTAATGCTTGATATGGAAAAGGGAACATCGATTTTATTTTTTAAACTACTTCAAAGTTTTCTCGCAGTATTTCGTTGCTCCGCGAGATTTCGTTGCTCCGCGAGATTTCCATGGCAGCGCTTGTTGCGCAGAGACGCAAGGAGGGCGGAGGAGAGGAGACTCCTGCTGCTGAGTAGCCTCGCTCTTGTAAGCGACCAACACGGAGGAGAAAGATGCGAGCGAGGCCGAATTAGTTCCAAAAAAGGGCTCATAAAACAGGGCTCGACATTATAACTGGCCCCCTGTCCCAGATGAATGATTGACAGAGTCCGGGCTGTTCAGATGGCGGCTTCACTGCTGTCACTTCTAATCTAGTTCTCCTTCTAGTTCTAATCTGAGTATTTTAATAATGTAAATCTACTTTAATTACTTAAATTTTACATTTTGAGATCTTTAAAGGCAAGACAAATATTCTAAGCATAGCCAAAACCGGATATTTTGTTTTGGTCTGTGTTACAGGACTCTATTTTTGTCCCATTAAAAAAACAACTTTTTAAAATATATCTGTTACACTTTGTGATATTTCCTTCATTAGCTTTAAAATCAACAGTTTATTTGACTCTATCATATTGCACTACTTAACTGCTGCTAAATATTTACTACTCTACCAGTCGGGATGCATTCACAATCCAAGTAGTTCTGCTAATGCACTGTTTTCTCCTCTTACATTTTACCTTCAGAGGGGCCCATATGTGCCAACTTACTGTATTTCAGCATATTTTCCCTGTAATACAGCCTGCAAACTGGCCTTCCATGACTCTGTCTAAAACTTTGCATTACGCTATTATCACTAATTTACACTTGTTTAGATTAACTAAAAGCCTAAATGTGATTTCAATTCGTATACAAAGGTTAAATGTATAACAAGTCATATGTAGTGAGAATGATTGTCCAGTTAAAGTTAAACTTTGGTGTTTATGTCCATTTTAAATATGGTAACCTGAGTCACCTCAGTCAGTGATCCAGTTTCTCTGCAAAATACCGGACCATATCGGGAAGGTTTCAGGAATCCAGCCAGCCGTCATAAAAACCCTCAGTCCGCCCTGCTTAGCTCTGCCTTAAGATCGTTATTATAGAAAAATGAAAAGGGGCTTTGATTGAAGCTAACTGGGCTCTGGATGATAAAGGCCATACAACACGTAATGGCCTGTAAATGTACACACACCTCCACAGTGTAGTCATGCAGCCCCTCTCACAGGTTGAGAACTGATCATCAGCTGCAGAGTTCAGCTTTTGTGTGTTAATGTGAAAATGCCAAGGAACGTCTCGCTGCTTTTCTCTGCACACTAAGTCGAGCTGTCCTGCACCTCTCATATCTGACTCTGTGTCAGAGTGAGGACAGCACTGACCTTAACACCCGCTGTTTCTGACGCTTTAGAGACCTTCACTGTTGATGTGGTTCTGTCAGTTTAATATCTTGTGTCTTCTATATTTAGGGGTCTTTTCAAGATATATACCAACACTAGCATTTGCTGACTGAAGCACGCTGCTCTGTGTGTACTGTATGTTCTCTTTGACGTAGGTGTTATTACAGGTGTCTGCCCTCAAACAAACACAATACAGCGTGTTTTTTTTCATCTGGCCAGTTGCTTAGAGAGTCACTTTTTGAAGCATTTTAAAAGCCTTTGATCCTTGTCATTAGAAACTGGCCTACCTGCTGTTAACTCTGGTGAACAGTGTGTTTAAGCTGTCATTGTTACCTTGTAAAATACTTGTAAGGATGTCAACAAGAGACGGACTAGGGGCTTTTTGATGCATTTCTCTCACTGACAACTGAAGCATGTTTTGTTTGTAGTCATGCTGCCCTTTTATTGTGTAAAGATTGCATTATGACTCATAGTTTCTTTATTATTCGTGTATAAGAAACATTTTAACCTGTCAATTAAAAGTTAAGCATTCAGAATTTAAAAAATAAATGTAGGGTATTGTGCACTGACTTTGCACCAATATCACTATGTTTGCAGTATGTTCCTGGAAAATGACATAATTTAAACAAAATCATATTTACAACACAGTATAAATGGAGGCCAAAAGGGTTCCATAAAGAACACCTGTATTCTGCAGGACAATAAGCTTTAAAACCTTCAGAACCTATCAGTAGTGTTAAAGCACTGAGAAGCAGTAGTTAGCTCCAAGATTAGGTCGTATGAGGTTATTTAGTCTCTCTCACAGCACTGTGGTGGGAACCTCTTGGACGAAAGAAGACTTTTTGCACCCATTTATAAACTAACTATTCTGTATTTGCAGGAAGCCGTTCTAGTAGAAACAAATATTATGCATGCATGTGGACACACAGATTCATAAACACGACAAGCTGCCTTTAGATTTACATTTCTGTCCCACCGATGGCACAAGACATCTTCCTTTTTCATTGAATGTAACAGACAAGCTGTGACTGTTTTTTTGGACTCCAAGTAAACTGAACTTCACAGTGAGCTAACAGCTGCAAAGTTAAAAGTTGGTGTTAGTATCAAACTTGAAATAGTGTAAACATGTTTTGTGTCCAAATTTGTCAGCCAAGATAAGACTCTATAATGTACTATTGCACATCTGCCTTCCTGTAGTGCGTTCCCAGTCATATTCAGAGGCTAGATATTTAAGATATTATTCTTATTGAAAGAGTGTGAAAAAAATGTTATCAAAATGTCCTTTTCACTTGCTAATAGCTGGGTGAAACTAAGCATCTGTGTCTTGGCATCATGTGTTTAATCTTTCCATCTGCTGTGTTTATGTTACAGGTGGAGGAGTGCAGTAAGGCAGCAGCTGTGAGTCTCCAGGTGGGAGACGAGCTCGTCAACATCAACGAGATTCCCCTGACGGGCTACAGACAAGAGGCGATCTGCCTAGTGAAAGGCTCCCACAAGACCCTCAGTCTGGTGGTGAAAAGGTAGGTAACCAATCCTCCGTCTCCTCCGGTGCCCTCTCCTCCCACATCTGCTGCTGTCACAAGTGCACTGAGTCACCATGGTGACATTTCTAACAAACCAAGGCAGCAGAGGAGTGGAGACAGATGATCCTGCTCCCTGCAGCTGTCTGTCTGTTTCTAGTGCCTGTAGACCAGCCTGCACTTTCTGGGATTTCTTTCTAGTTGTTTTGTTGAGGTCCTGGTAGCTGGATGGTCCTGTTTAGCCAGGTTGCACTACACCGCTAAGAGTTTGTGACACCATTTTCCTGATGAAGCTGAAAGAAGGAAGAGGTTGGAGGTGACATCATTGACTCTGTGAGCAGGCAGGTGTAGGAAGGGCAAAAAAAGAGGAAGTCACTATGCATATGACAATATTTTGCAGAGAGATTGTTTGTTTTCTTTCAGCTGTGATAAAAATTTACCAAAGAACATCCAATGAACTGTAAATCCACTTAAATCATTACTCACTCTTTCTGTGAGAAGCCTGTCTTTGTGACCTATTGACTCCAAAGTATTGTTAAGTACGTATATCTTGTTTAACTGATGAGTCATTTGTCAACGTGAGAGCTGCAGGCCTCCTTACGAGTGGCCTTGTTGTGTGTGTAACACTGCTCCCATTGTCTCTTTGCCGTCTGCATTGCATTCTGTATTGTATCATATCATAACGTAATCCCTGAACAAATCCTTCTGTACAAGGAAGTCCTCTCACCATTTATCTCTCCACAAGGATGCGGCTGTGAGGCTCACTCATTGTTTCATACTCTCAACAGGCAGGTCTATTATGGGATGTGGAAACAAGGAGGCATTACTGTCTATAACAATCTATTTGATTTACTTACGCTATTGTAGGACAAGCCTTAAATGTATGATTAAGTCCAATATAAACACATAAAGTTAATACATCTTAAACATAAGAGATTAACGTTCTTATGGTTCCAAATCACATACTTTTAGTGCATGTTTTGCGTTAATTAGAACAACAGTTATGGCATACTGCATCATCATAACATTACACCTTGAAATAAGACCCTTGTGCTCTTCAATCCATCAGAGTCCCTATGGTATCAGTTGAATATAGTATGAAATATGTTTGCCTTATAGGGTCAAATATCTATTTGCCATGAAACAAAATAGTTGGTTTTAGTTATAATGAATAGGATTGACACAATACTGATTCCCTAATAAAAATCAACAATGGCGATACCTGTTTCAATACCTCAAAAATGTAAATCTTAGGAATCTAATATTGGAAAAAACTCTTGTGTCTAATGACCAACAGTTGTATTTGTGCAACCAAGACAGTGTGCGGAAGTTTGCCTACAATTCTTTAATGGATTCATTCCTCTCCTACTCACCTGTCTTATGAAATAGATGTAGATTTAAAAGCTTTAGTCCTTTTTGATATTATAAAGTAATTGAGTAATGGAGATTGTATCATTTCAAAACACAGCATCAAAAAGTATCAAAATCTTTGCGTTGTACCATGCTTACTCGTGTTTGTGTTATTTTATTTATCCCATTTCTATCAATGTATTTAGGCTGGACAGTTTATATCTTACAGTGAGTTTCTTTGTACACATTGTCTGTAGCAGCAATGTGTCATTTTCTGTTGTTTAAAGTGAGAAGGAAAAGGTCCATTTACTGGGTCAATTTAACAGAAGCAGGATGCATGACTACAGGATCTGGGGTATTGTCATTTCATTATGTTTGTAGTTGTAAATGGAGAAAGACATTTCCTTACATGGACATGGTTTATTGTTCATATTGCATTGTATCCTGCCTTTGAGCCTCATGAGACTATTTCTTCCTTTTGCTGGCCTGTTTTGGAGAATTTTTCTGTTTAGTTTCTGTAAATAACCTGTCCAGTCCCTCATTTTCAAGGCCACAATAACAAGTCAGAGTCTGACTAAGAATACAGCAGAGTGATAATGATTCATTATAAAACCTCAAAGCTTCAGTGCCCTTTCTTGTTACTTTTTTTTTTTTTTTTTTATCAAAGTCTGCAATCTGGACGTTTTGTGTAAAGCTGGGGTTGGAAATGTAGTACGGTGTAGCATTCCTCATTATTATCCACACCCATTTAAGCCCCAGTGTTTAAATGTAGTTTACTCTGTGTCTGAGCTTGTAAAGTGTCAGCCATGAAACACCTTTCATTGTATCTCAGGGGTAATGTTGGATAGTTGAAATCAGGATCAGGAAGCTGTCAGAACCTGCTCCTGTCCGCAGGTGTGGTCTCTTTACAGACAGCACCAGGGAGGAGCCTGATTTATTTTGCATGCAGTGACTCATGTGAGATTGGCGGTGTAATGTCATGGGAAGAGGCCTGTCAAATGTTACACAGAGAAAAGTCAGGTGTGGTTATCAGTTGGAAAGCATCTCATTCTCTCTGCACATGCTCTGACAAAACTACTGAATACACAGTGCTTCAACTTTAGTCTGTCATAGAGGGAGTCTTTAAAGTTTTACAGTTGTATTTCTATTTTAAAACCACCTGCAAACATTGAGAAAAAAGCAGGGTGTTGATTGTTAAAAAGCAGGTTTTGTGCTTGATTTGTTTAACACTCGCCAACACTAACTACTGCATACAGTCAAATAGGGCCCGACCAATATTGCACAAGTAGTAATTTGGACAAAGTTTCTCTATAACAAAGATGATGCATTACAAGTTTTCCAAATGGTATGAGACGTTAAACACTTTCCTGGATTGTAAGTATAGGTCTGATACAGGGACGGGAAGTCAGTTTCAGTTGGGGGTACTGAGAGAAGTCTTTCCATACGATGACGTCATACTTTCTGCTGTGCGAATTCGTCCTTTGTTAATTAATTTGAATGTTCAGGATTATTAACAGGCCTACTTAGAGTATTAACAGCAGCTCATACCTCCCTAAGAACATTTTACACTTCTATAGACAAAACCCTCGCACAGATATTTCACATGTTGCCGATGAACACTTTATAGTTTAAAGAGTGGGGGGGGGGGGGGGGGGGGGTGACGAGTGGATGCACAGACATAAAAGCACATTCATCGCACAGTGGAGATGTTTGGACAGCGTCAGCATGAGACTTAAGTCTGAGTTACATTAGAGTAGATGATCATTTGAATTTCTTATTTCTTGTCCCTCCACCAATTGCACTCACTCTCTTTACGTTGACAAATCAGGACATGCTGCTGGTCTCCTTAAGGGGCAGCAAACCCTACTAGATGTTCTCCAGGAAATGACTCTCTGTGTGCCATCTCCTATCTGAGCTGCTCTAATTTAGAAAAATTGTGCAGATTTTAAATTGAATTTAAGTTTGCAATATGTTCTAAACTGTGTTTGCCCCTCCTTGCGATGAAAGCAGCTTTACCAAGATCAAGGAAAAAAACAGCCCACACTCTGGTATTTTTTTGTCCAGTGCAATTGGAGTTCACAGAAAAACTTCATTTTAAACAAGAACAGCTCTTTCATATATGTTTTGGTTGTTGGGGTTCTGTGATTGTGATCTCCTGAGTTAAACCACTTTCCTATAAGGTATGCACATCATTCTGTGTACCTCTCTTTTACCTGAAGGCAGTTACAATTTAATTGTATTCATCAGGCCCCCTGTAGTCTGGCCTGTCTTGCTTTTTCCTTCCCCTGAGGCACTTTTAGTCAATGTAACAAACAGCAGAGTGAATCATTAAACTTTATGAAGAGAAGCTGAAAGTTTGTTGTGGCTTTCTGTTTCCCCCTTCTGGCTTTGTTAAAGAAGTACCACAATAATCACTTGCAAGCTCTGTTATCTTGTTCAATAGGAGACTTAGGCAGTAACTCCTTCAGTGCTGTTGTTGCTTTAAAAAATACTGTTTACAATACATCTATGTGGCTATTTTAAAAGAGTTGGGACCAGAGTTTTGTTGCACAATCCAATTATAGCTGGAAAAGCTTATTGGTCTACCTTACAGCATGAGCATTCAGCAGGGGCTGCAGTGCAGTGGCTTACATGCATGCTGCTCTTAGTTTTTCCTAATCAGCACACATAGTATGTGAAGAATGCTGTGTTCTGATTTCTTGTAATAAGCAGATTTCTTAAGATTTTTTAGTTCTCAGCTGAGGAAATCACAGTTTAGAGATTTCTGTGAAGCGCTTAACTGCTCCCCCTCAGTTTCTTGGTTTGCTCCAATGCCAAGGTTAGTGGACAGGCAGGCACCGAAGTGGATCAATAGCTTAACAGAAGGACAGAATCAATTAAATCTTTTTTTTTTTTTTTTGCAATCTCATCAAAGAAAATGTATGCTAGCTTTTAGCTGTGATTGCTTTTTCAAACCTCTTGACATGAAGAAGAAATGCTCGTTCTTGACAAGTATTTCCAGAGGTATGTATAAAAGTATGGAGGGCATGTCACGTTTTTTGTTCATCCTTTTTATCCTTGGGAGAAAAATGATATTGCATAAAGTCTGTTCATTCTGAATGCTAAGTTAATGATTAATTCATTGTAAATTCATGTACAGTGGTTGTCTTGTATTCAGTGGCAAACTTTTATCCAGTTGTCTTGTCTGACATGTGAAATTGTTTAGCACATACTAGTAACTTAATGTTTATGAATGTATTACATACTTTACATACAACTTGATTAAATGATCTTACCTCACAGGTGTGTTGTTCCTGTTTAATCCTCTAGGTTTTTTATACAAAACTTTTATATTCTTCATAAGTTAATACCTAAACTACAGCTATTCTCCTCGCTGTTTGTTGTTTGGCTTCTGATGCCTTTTATCCTTTAGCTTCTATTATAGATAGGCCAGACTGGTAGGGGTTAATCCTGTATTTAAACACAGTTTTTATTCATTTTAAGGGTACATTTACTCAGCTGATAGCTAAAATTAGCACTATGGCCAAACTACAATCATTTTTTGCAAATCTCTTTTTAAATCTTTTTAAAAGTAGATTGTGTTGGGAAGACGCTTCAGATTGTAGATGCTTTGAATAATGACTTTTCTTCTCTGTGACTCAGGACATGTC